CATTTTAGACTATATAAACATGAATCGCCAAATGCACTGTTTAATTTGACATTCATAATTCTAAATTTGATTTTTATTTCTCTAAAATATATTAATTTTGAAAGTATTTAACAAAGATTCGCGAACACCTTTGTTTAAATAACTGACTATAAGCATTCTTTATATTGCTCTGTACTTTCTTAAAGTATACTAATTAATACAATAATAAATGGTGGGGGAATTATTTGTATATATCGGTTTCGTACAACTTTGCGTACATCAATCCGGTTTGGCCAATAAAATTGCAGCGTTAGTCAAATTCGACGATTATTTGCATACCTCAGATACGTACATCAAAATTTTTATCAATTTTTATCAACCAATAAAATTGCAAACTTAAACCTATATAACGATAATGATAAATCGAATGATTAATTTTACACTTACACTCATTATACTTATCATTCACCTTATACACATTGACTCATTTCCGTTAATCTTATTCACTTGTTTTATATATTCTTCGTTATTATTTTCGTTAGTCTACTTCTTGTTAACCTTTTCTCGTAATTTTTCTTATTCACTTGTTTCATATACAGTATTCTTCATTATTTCACTAGTCTATTCTTGTGATTTTTCACTTGTTTTAATATTCTTCATTATATCTACTTTCGCTGGTCTACTCTTTGTTGGATCTTCTTTGTGATATCATTTGTTTCTATTCTTATTCTCATAACTTTTTCATTATCCATTTTTCACTGGCCTACTCCTGTGATTTTCTTATTCACTTCTATTATTTTTTATCAATTCTTATTTTTTTTTTATATTATTGAACTTTCTCATCATTATGGGTGCTAATATTGCTCTTATTCCTAAAATAGGAAAAACTTTTTTTACTTTTGATGAAGTTTGTGCATTTGCCGAAAATTATGCAGCACAAACTCATATTGTTCTAATATTAGGGAAAACAACTAAAAATTCTGATAGTAGTTATAGGCAGGCTTTTTTTGCTTGCGAAAAGCAGGGGAGTTATGGTGGAAAAAAAAAAGAAACATATATTACTAAGCGTATGGGCTGTGAATTTGGCATTGGGGTAAATTATTATAAGCTTATAAAAGAATTTGCCATAACCAGATTATGCTTAAAGCATAATCACGAAATTTTTCCTGATGCTCGAAAGTTCAGTAGTAATATGCGAAAATTTGATCAGAATGAACTATCCACAATTGAGAGGCTTTATGATAATAGACTTCGAACGAGAGATATATTTTCCGTTTTAGCTTCTATAAGCTCAAAGTATATGCACAAATACAATGTTTATAATGCAGTTAGTCGCTAGCGTCAGCAGAAGTTGCAACTCTACAAGATGATGAAAATATTATAGCGAGTATAGCAATGAAACCTGCTTATTCTGATGATCGTGATCAAGACGGATCATTTATTCAAGCAATTTTTTGGGCATATCGAAGTGCAATTTCTGAGTTTGTAATAGCAAAGGATGTTCTAATTATTGATGTAACATATAGAACAAACAGGTTATTATTGTTAAATCGATGAATATTGTTTTTTTTTTGTCATTAAGTTCTGTGAATCCGTGAGTTTCATATATGTATATATTGCATATTATAATTATTATTTGTAATTGTTAGCTTTTTATATTATGAAATAATTATTATATGCAGGATATATGCATATATGAAATTCATAGACAAAAGAGTGATATTATTATCTTTTTTCGATTTTAATTACCTGTTTTAGTAGCTACACTTACCCGTATACATACAATACTTTATTTATTTAATTATTTATTATTCAATTATTTATTTATTTATAACTAATAAGCATTTTGATTTGTTTTTTAAAACAGATTTTTAATGCCGTTAATTGTTGTTTGTAGCATTGACCGATTCGGATCAACATACCCTTTAGCTTTTGTACTTGTATATGCTGAAACGAAAGACTTTTACTGCTGAGTATTGCAATAGTTGTATAGAGCGCTGATAACTTTTACAGGTGATTCACATGTAGCAATGATGATGACTAACCGAAAGTTGGCTCTTATGGCTGCGATATCTGCTGTCTTTCCCAACACAAAGCATCAGTTGTGCACATGGCGCATTTTTAAAAATATCTGAAATAAACTTAAAGGAATCCTTATTCAAGCTCTTAGAAGACTCGTATATGAAGACCTTTTAGAAAGTTAGATGAATCAAGAAATTACAGAATTGTGAACACAATTTCCAAGTGCAAAAAAATATATATGTGATACTTGGATGCCACATAGAGAAAGTTGGCTGGCGCTATATACAAAAAAAAATGTAAATCTTGACATGAAGTCAAGCCAGCGTGTTGAAGGTCTGCATAGTAAATTAAAAGGTGTTGAGAATCGTATTACCCCGATTAATAGGTAAGGATAAGTTAATTGACTAAACAAATTTTTTCAAACTGTTAATTGATAATGAGTTTAATGAGAAGAAAATTTTTAACTGATTAGTTTTACTTTTTTTAAAAAAAAAGTAATCACCATTATTTACTAAACTAGTTAATTGATTTTAAAACCTGTAAGTAAAAATTAACATAATCACTACTATGTATACAATATATATTTGTAATAATGTTAATTTTTATTTACAGAGTAGTACTCGTTTATTTATTTATTTATTTATAGAATCCTTTTTATTTTATTAAGGTTATTAGTGATTATGTGGCAACAGCAAAAAGAACATACACAAAAATTTGAATATGAAACCTTTTTACACCAGAATAGGCGTATATGAGATGATAAAGACACAGGTCTGGAAAAGTTGCATTTAGTATGTTCACGATTTGCCTTTAAAACATATATAAAGCAACAAAGAGACCTTGTAATATTTGGCGAATATAGAGTTTTTAAATATAATGATATGTACAATATAGTAGAGCTTGATGATAAGGTAAGTAAAACACATATTGTACATATTGGAACACCAAGTACCTGTACATGTTTGCATCCACAGCATACTAGAACTCCGTGCCAGCATGTTATTGTAGTATATTTGCTATGTCTGCGCACTGATTTGCTACCAAGTGAAGTTCATTCTCGTTGGCATATACAACATACTGAAGCTGATCATATCTCGAATTCTGTTTCTCAACTTGCTGAGAAGATTTTTAAAAGGCTGCCGGAGTGTCATCATGATGCTTTAGTTAATTTTATGCAAAGTGCTTCAGAGTATATTCTTGAGAATAACAAAATACCGGAGCTACAAAAAGGTTTAAGTGTTTTACAAAATAATAATAATATTTTTGAGACAACTAACGTTGATACCATTACAAATTATAAGAAAATTAAGATGCCTGCAATTAAGCATTCACATGGTCGTCCTGTAGTAACAAGCGTATCCGTGGCGCAGATGAGATTCAAAATGCTAATGCTAATACTAAAATTAAAAAAAAAAGTTAGATAAAGTGCTACTAATAGCTGGTAGAAATTATGATTCACAAATTCCTCAAAGTGCAATATTACAGGTAATTTTGTATTTAGTTTGCTCAAATTAGTTTTTTTTTTTTTTTTTTTTATATATACATATATAATACAGGTTTATGACCCACTTGCTAATAGTCATTGCGGTTTTTGATCATTGGCTGTAGCTATATTCCAGGGAGAAGAGAAATAGAAAAATGTCAAAAGCGTTATGAAATTTCAGTTAACCAGAAATCTAAATATGTATGCTAATATACTTGGATATAATGTTGAACGATTAACAAGTGTTTTGTCCTATATTGAGCCATGATGTTCACAAGAATATTGGTTTTATGCACCGGAGTGTGCACAGCTGGCATCTGACGCATTTAATGTGCCAATAGCAGTATTCAGTGAGAACTCTGTATCGAGTCTCCTTTTTCTGCTATTTGATCAAGTACTTGGGCGTCACAAGAAACCTATCATTTTGCATTGGTATGGGCAAAGCCATATTGTGCTGGTTAAGCTCAAACCAAACAGAGATATACAGGTCCTGCCTCTAAATCCTCAGTATTTGCCAATTTGCTGTCACCAGGGTTTTTCTGAAGAATAGAATTCTCTCTTTGTATAGCTTATACAGTATCATTGCTTTTTTTTTATTTTTTTTTGATATTCATGTTTCTAGATATTTTGTATTTGTATAGCTTATATCATTGCTTTTATTTTTTTTATTTTTGATATTCATGTTTCTAAATATTTGTGTTTGCATAATTAATTGATTTGAAATTTTGATATTCAATATTAGCATGGGTAATTTAATACTTAGTAGTAATAAGATAAGTTATTTATTTAATATTATTTTATAAACAAGTTTGAACATGCAGCAAGAGTCGAAAATTTGTTTAATGCTAAAGAGAATTTAATAGCGAAGCGAAGTTATATCTTTTTATCTATCTGATGTGTAAAATTTTGTTTCACAATGTTAAAATTTCATTACTAACAATATAATCAATAAAGTCTTTCCATTGTAACATATTTTAATTAATTAATATTCATTCATTAATATAATAATAATAATTTTTAAACTGGACTTTGGTATGTTGAAATACTTTCGATAATATCGTGACAAAAGTGTGAAGCAAAATGTTAGGATTTTAAATAAACAAATATAAATAATAAATAATTAATTAAGTATAAATAATTGAATAAGTATAATATTTAGAAACTTATAATTTTTTAGAGGCTTTTTAATAAATATTTTAACGAATTAAAATGATGTACACAACCGTTGAGGTACGTAAATAATTGTCGAATTTCAAGTGCTCAACTAATGCTGAGATTTCATTGGCTAAAAAAAAATTGATATATGCAAAGTTGTACGAAACCGATGTACACAAATCATTCTTCAAAAAGTTTATATTACACATTCAATCAGTTAATTTTGATTGGATAATCCTTGGTTGTCATCTATTTTTAGAATGTCTAATTTTCGAAGAACAATTTTTTAAATCTAAAAATCCCGATAGTTTACTAAGTCAATATAGAAAAAAAAAATGCTCTATGTATAAGTAAGAATAACAGTCATAGGACATGTCGTCCCCCGATGATCTTATTAGTGATTATTTTTGTGTAACATAAATCGACCAGACCTTTTTTTTTAAATTCTTCAATTATTCAATAGTATATATTATCCCGAACCTTAGACAAGTTTTATTTTTCAAGTTTTGAACTTTCATTTTATACCAGAAATACTTGTATTACTTGACTCTTTATAAAATAAGAATGAGTCGAAAAACAGCAATTTTTCATTGTAAATGGTAAGATTTTCTTTCAAATACTGTAAAATAAGTTTAGATTTACTTTGTTAACAGTAGCAAAGGAATTGTGCTACAAAACTCATTAGTAACACATGGGCACTTTAGTTGCAGCTTTTGAACATTTGCTATGAAGTACCCTTTTAATTAGTAGATCAAAGATTAATTCGGAACTAAATGTACTTTTTTTCTCTTTTCATGTAGGGAGATCAAAAAAGTATCGCTTTGTTTAAAGAGACCAAGCAAAAATTGAAGACTATTATAATAAAAAAATAGTTTTTTATTTGAGATAATGAATTTTACAAAGAATCTTTTCGTGATTAGAGATTAGACTTGAGTAGAAATTGCTGCTATATAATTACCCAAAATATATAATAATTTACCAAGTAGCAATTTTCTTAATAAGTCCAATCTCCATCATGACTAAATAGGGGTGCTTGTACACAATTTGAAAATTTTTTAAGTACCTTTGAAATTTTAACCACATATTCTAAAATCTTGAATTCTAGATGAACAACAAGTTCTATATAAAAGTTTAAACCATTATACAATGTGATTCTGAATTTAATAAAAAGAAGTCAGATACTTAAACGAATTTGTTTGTTTTTTTTTTTATACAAAAATAATAATCTAATATTGTTTTATTTTTGATGATTTCTGTGCCAGTTATTTTTCCAATACAGTTTAACTCTTTCTATCGTCCAGTCCAAAGAGATAGTTTGAAGTTCTGCCAACACTTTCAGGAATTTAGCTTCAGGCACACTATCCCCAAATTCAAATAATTGTTTAAGTATATCTTTCTCTATTTCAGTAGTAGTGTAGTGTGATTGTTTTAAAGGGTTAATCGCAGAAGATATTGATGCCCGTTATGATACTAAAGTATCTTGTTCAACATAATTAGGATTATTTACTTGACTTCTTTTTTGTTTTTTTATATTCTCAAGTTGAGCATAAGAATAACGATTTATGTTTCACATATGACGTCCAGAAGTTCGGGGCTCAGTTTTATATATATCCTGCACAAGCACCTCTTGAAAGCGCGATTTTCCAGTTTTATAAAATGAAAGGATATTATTAATACCCTCTTCACTAACTTCTGGTGCATCTTCAAACAAATAGTGGCTTGCAGGATTCGGATAATTAAAGACAGACAACAACTTTGCAGCTAATGACCAGAGTGAGTCCTTGCGTGACTTGATCGAACAAATATTTTGGCTCATTACAACATCGTCAATATACTCAGCAAAAAGTGTTGATAAACGATCTCTCTTACTCTAGGCTGCCTTAATTTTTAACATCATTGTCTGCTAGTCAGTAATATTACCTGTAATATTTTGTTTGATAAATTTTACGCCATACGTTTCAAGTGCTTCATCAAAGGCAAAATAATGCCCTTTATTTGTGAGGTTTACTAAACACACAATCTTTAATAATTTTTGTAGCTGTGGATTGTTGTGAACCTGAACCAAAAAGTGTGCCACAGAACTCGCATACTTAAACTTTCCAGCTGCAGGAAAGAGAGGTGCAAATGCAGCCAAATTTGTCATTTGCATCCAGTAATTTCCTCTTCTAATTCCAATTTTATGGCCTATAAAATATTCTGTCTAGCAAAAGAAGAGATACCACACCTTTACAAGGTAATTATTACCACTTAAAATATCGTTCATTGTTTTATTTTCTCTTTTAACATGCTGACACAATGCAATCCTGACTGCGACCCAAATCAATTCTAAAACACGACATGTTGCTCGGTAATCTATTACATGTTCAAACTTGTCTAGAAATCGTACTCCAAGAGTTGCCGCAAGGTTAAATATTCCATATCTAGAAAAGATAGTAATTAAAGTGCAGCACATGTTTTTAGATGTATGCCACTGTCCCAAAAGAAGTCGAACATCGTTATGGGTTTCTTTATAAGAGATTAATCTTCCAAAGATTGCCTGGTCACATGCAATGTATAGACGCTTGTCACAACTACGAGGTAAATCATCGAGATACATTTCACATGCTGTATGAACATTATCATTGCAAGATGGTGGATCACTGGGTTTTAGTATTACAATTTTTGGTGGTGAAATATTGCAACCCATAGGTATTTGTTTGGTAATTTCAGAATGCACATCTTCTATTTCAAAGTTATTTTCATGATTCTCTAACATTCTATTTAAGATAGTTTCATATATTACTAAAATATTATCAGTAGTCAAAGACTCTCCAAACAATGGTTGAGTAGCAGATTCATAATCTTCAATTAGATAATTAGGTAAATCAAAAGAGTGAACTGGAATACTATTCGCAATGTTGCGTGTGAAATCTGCCATGTAATGTCAAAAATATTGCCATATGATAATGTAGAAGCTTTAAAGTCAATATTGTCGATTACCGCCAGATTCCATACGTTTAGTCCTTCAATTAAGTTATTTTTAGGATCAATATGCTGTATCTTTAAATTTTCAAGATGATTTTTATACCGCTTAGTGTATGAGATAACACGTGCCAAATAAAGAATCTCTCGTAGATGTAGTAGTAATTTTTGGTTTTGGCATATCGATGATATAATATTCGAAAGCCAGATTTTTGTTCCTGGAAAAGCAATGGTAAGTAGTATTGAAATCAGTAAAGTAGTAGTTTTTGATATTTGATTTATATCAAGAGATTTTAAAGGAAGCTCACATTGATGCCTCTTATTATTAACTATTTTTAGTTTATGTTGTTGTAGTACTGTTAGAAGGGCTTTAAAGAAGCTACAAATGACAGCAGGCAATGCTTCGAAGTAGTCTTCATATGAGCTCGGGTTTTCTAACTGATTTTTATTATTCTTAATTTCAGAACATGAATTTAAAATTTCCTTTTCTAGTTTTTTACCCATTACCGAGGCCTTTTTCAGAGCTATATGAGACTCCCCTCCGGTTAATCTGTTTAACCTATTCAATTCAACCTTTCTCATTTTTATTGCCGTTTTAACAAGCAACTTACTTGGTAATGTTTTTTTTTCTGAGTTTGATAAATTTGTATCCTCTGTCTTATAATTAATAGTAGTTAACATGGGGGATATCTGGGATAAAAGTTTTTCTTGTAGATCACGATCTTCTGACTCTGCCACAGACATTAACCATTTTCTGATAAGCTTTAGAGTGTCGCTTGTATCCTCATAATGCGCACATGGTAAAATATCTCCGCCTCTACCAGGTCTACCATATAAATGTTCACCATTTTGTTGAAAGCATTCTGAGCAGATGTAATGTGCACGATAACTGTAAAATGATTTTTTTGCAATACATCTCTCAGAGAATGCAGGACATTCAAAAACACCAATGCAAGGTACTTGAATATTCCATTCATTGACATTCCATAAATAGCT